ACCAGGTGGGGGGACTCGGGACCTGTGTTTCCTTCTGCCCCATAGCATTTTCCAATTTTCAGTGATGAGTACATTTTATTATTTTTTTATAGGGGACATTTTAGTGAAAAAATAATTTCCTTGGGTCAAAGCTGGGTCCTCTCTGGACTCTTATTTATTAAATGAAAATCCCTTGGAGGAAGGAGGAAGAGACCGGGAGTTAAGCCTTAGCTTGAAAGGATCAAAGGGGCTGTAAAGGTCGCGCAGTTAATCTCCCACTTCTTCAGCGCCCCTGCCGCCCCTGGGTGCTCTCCTCTTGTCCTCAACAAGGGCTCCGTCGCCGCTCCCTGGCCTGTGACTGTGACTGCGGGCGGGTCGCAAACCCTGAGCCTCCACACCCTCCTCTGTTAAGTGTGAACACGCCTGCTTTCCTTGTTAGCCACGGGGCGCCCACATGACAGCAAGTGACTCAGGAAATGCTGGTGCCTCGGCCTCTTTCTCCTCATGGGGCCTCTGCCCTGGGGGACCAGGACATGTCCCTGAACCTCTGTGAGCCTCAGTTTCCTCATGAAGAAGGGGAAGGGTAATGCTATAGACCACGGCATTCCTGTGCAGACACAGGGAGAGGGAGAAGGCGGAGGCTTATGGACTTTGGGGTTTGGCAGCGAACCCGAGCTTACTCCCTCTCTGGAACCTGCTGGAGTCTGGCCCAGAGCCAGGGACAGGGGAGTCAGGATTGGACCCCAGCTCTGCAGGCAGCTCGGGGCACCTGCTAGTCCATACGCTGTCCCGCCGGAGAGGATGCCCACAGGGGCAGGCGAGCCCAGCTCAGGGCCCCAGCAACGGGTGCGGAGGGGAGAGGGAGATTCAGTGGGAGGGGATGCGGAGTCAAGTGGAGAGGGGGAGGCAAGAAGAGAAGAAAGGAGGGAGCAGAAGGGAATGTAGGGAAGGCCCTTCCCTGACCTCAGACTGAGGGTCCCCACTTCGAGGCCTTATAGGCCCCTCTGATTCAAATGTGACCCCATTCATCTCCCCTTCCCCAAGCATGCACACCCCCTAGCCTTCGCAGCATCGTTGGGGGCCACCCTTACTCTCCCACAAGTCTTAACCCTGGGCCCGCAGCGCCTCTTCCCACTTCCTTCTGCTGTGCCCATGCCACCCTGACCGCCCCTGTCCTGCCCCCACTCACCACCTCCAGGGGATGTTCCTGCCCATGGCCCCCCACCCTGCTCTTCCCAGCCCCACAGCCTGCCCCCAACCCCCCATTGCAGCCCCCAGCACTTGGCCTCCACAGGAGCAGCTTTTTCTCCCTCCTCTGTCTTCCTTACTCCAGCCTCACACTGATTCATCCAAGTCTCTCCCTGAGCCCAGGGCTGCCTGGACCCGGGCCGGGTACCAGAAGAGCGTGTTCTCTGCCACGAGCCTGAGTTTCCTCCTGGAGGGAACTTGGTGGGTTTTTGGCAGCGAGGCTGTGCTCCCAGCTGTCTGGAAGCAGACAGTGGCCGTGGGAATGCCGTGCCAGCCAGGGGTGGGGGTGGGGGGCAGGTGACTGTGGCTCTGGAGAGGATCAGCCACTTACCCAAGATGGCACAGCAATGCAGGGCAAGGCCAGGACTTCCACTCCCGGAGGCTTCAGTCTTCAGCCAGTTTGGGGAGGTCTGGCGGGTGGGGCTTGGGTGGGGTTGCACTCAGGACTGCTGCCCCTCAGGCCAGGCTCTCAGGACATGGGGGCGGGGTGGAGGGTCCTTCCATCATCATTGGGAGGGCGGGCTTGGGGCTGGCGGAGCCCTGGAGGAGAAGGCCTGTCTTGGACTCTGATGCTTGCATTCGGTGGACCCCTGGGGAACGCCCGAGTCATCACTGAGCCTGCAAACATATTTAGCTCCTTTCATCATCCCTAATAAATCAGTTTCTGCAGGTCTCTCTCACCTGCCACGCGACTCCCGGCTGCCTGCCCCCCCAGCTTCTTCCCATGGCATCTGGGTATCGGGGCCCCTTTGTGAGCCCTGGCTTACAGTGCCTCAGGCCAGCGCTCCCCCTGCTGTCTCAGATCCCCCTTGTCCTCTGCTACTCCGTCCCAGGGCATCCGGTGCCCGGCTTGCCCCCCTCGTTCTGGCTCTGCGACAGCCTCTGTTCAGCAGGGGTGGCTGGGGTCCCGGTGGGAGCTTCAGGCTGAAGCGCATGGGGCCTTGAAGACACAGGGCTTCCAGCTCAGCGCATGCCGTTCACTCCCTGCCATCCTTGAACTTGCATTCTCTTGGCCCCCTGGGACTTGTGTTTGGGGCTCCAGGGAGTCTCAGAAATACCTTGCTTTATCATACATCCTCCTCTTGGGTCCTCCTGACTCCACTGGCTGGAAGACCCAGCCCTTGACCACAGCTTATCTGTTATGGGCACCTCTTCCAAGAAGCCTTCCCAGATCTCCAGCCCCCCAACCCTCTTGAATCTTTCCTTCTCCAATGGCCCCGCCTGTTTTGTAACTTTATGGACACGCACACAATTTGCGTTGTAATACTTGACCCTGAGTAGACCCAACACTGTTCTAAGTATTTTGCGTATATGTAACGACACCCACTTCGTAGATGGGAAATCTGGAGCTCAGAGAGCTCCGGAAACTTGCTGGAGCTCAGGCTCTCTGGGTGGCCTGTTTCCACCAGTGACTGGCAGCGTCTCATTATCCCCACCTCTCCCTTACCTGTCTCAGGCCCTGGGCTGCACCCATGTCTGAGACCCTTTTGTATACAGATGTTGCTGTTTGAGTCTGGACTTCCCCGGCCCAACCCTTCAGGGACGATCCTCCCAGAGTGGTGGGCACTAGGTCAGGGTCCTATACCAGAGTCAGAGCCGGGGTATTCTGACTCCCAGGCTGGGGATTGGGGTGAGCTTACAGGTGGGGGGAGGCTGTGTGCATCCGTGTGTCTGTTGGGTTGCTTGAGCCCGCAGGTCCTAGTGGACCAGGTGCCTTCCCCTCCAGGATGCCCACGCCAAGGATCTGCTGCCAGCTCTGTCTGAGCCCTGGGTGGCCTGTCTGGGGCCTGGAGAGGGTGAGAAGGGCTCATCTACGTGTGGTGGGCGCCCCCTGCTGCCCAGAGGGAGAAGCGGTGAAATGAGGGGAAGGTGGGCGGAGGCCCCCTGGGGAGGGGCTAGAGGCTGGAATGGGCGGGTCAGAGGTGGACCCACCTTGTTCTGACTGTGAGTGCCCTGCCCACCTCTCCTCCACCCCCCCAACCCCTGTGCCCCCCCACTTCCCTAATCCACCAAAGGTTTGCACCACTGCGGCAGAGGCCCAGAGGCACTTTTCAGTTCATTTCAGCCTGAGCAACCATCACTGCACACCTACTGTGTGCCCGGCACTGAGCGGTGCTGTCTGGCCTGTGAGGAGTGGAGTTCATAGTCAGAGTATGTGGTGTCTTTTCTGTGGCTGCCAACATTGAAGCACCCCCTTTGTCCCTCTGTCAACTAACCCCTGTGCCCCCCTTTTTAACCACACTGGGCTCTCACTGCTTCACAGAACTCCCCAGACATTTTGAGGTCCTTCTGAGGGCGAGGGCTGTGTCCAGGCCTTTGGCTCTGGCTGGGTGAAGGCGGGGTCGGGTCTCACAGGAGGTGCTCAGGAAGCGTGCCCCGAATGCAGGGGTGTGTGGGTCCGGGTCTATCTGTTCAGAGCCTTCAGGTCTCAGGGCGCAGCTCAGTGGTGGAGTTTCAGGTGGGGTGCTGGGCCAGGGTGTGGGCATCACCTTGGTGCCTTGAGCATCTGAAGGGGCTGCAAGGGCCCCAGAGTCAGGGTGGCCAGAATGTAGGCCCCACCTGGGAGGGGCTTCTGCCTTGTTTTCCGGCTCCTGTGCCACTGTAAGTACTTAATGAATATTGTGTGAAGTCCAGTGAAGCGCACTGGATCCGAGCCCCTCTGTACCCGCCTCCCCCCATCCACCCGCCGTCGACCCAGAGCTTGATGCGTCTCTCCTGGGCAGCGGCCTCTCCCTCTTTAGACAGCACTGCTGTTGGGAGGTTCTTGACCATGGTAGGTTCTTGACTGGGTCACTCTGCCCCTGCTCTGAGAGACCCCGGTTGGAAATTCAGTCCCTGGGGATGTCTGCCCAACACGGAAGCCCCATTGTGGGTCTGCTAATCCTAAGAGGCCTGTTCGGCCACCATTTTTGTTACCTGCAGTTCTGCATTCCTAGACAAGGTCAGTCAGTCATAGGATCCCAATCTTATAAGGCACCTTTCCAATCAACCACGAGCAGAAAGCTTGATCACCCCGGGAAGGCCGTGCATCACGAGGTGTGGCTGGGAATGCCCGGAGTGCTGCTGACTGATGTATAACAAGGGACCTCAGAAGCTGATCAGTGGAATGCCTAGTTGATGAGATTGGAACCACAGGGGGGGGGGGGGGGGAGGGGTTGAAGCCTGGTTTCTATGACAACACTTGTCATCAAGCAGATAAGAATTATCTGATCCGCAGACTCACTTCCCCCTGAAGCCTTAGATGACATAAGCACATTTTGAGTTCCACCGCATCTTTTTCTCCTTGTCCTTCTACCCCACGTAACTGATGCTGTGTGATTATTCCATCAATACAAAAGCCAGGATCTTGCTTGTTCAGCAGCATCCTGAACGGCGCAGCCTGCTCCACGCTGCCCGTTTATCCATGTGGTGTTGCCGACCCAACACCCAGGGCCCTGAGGACGAGGCGCTAGAGCCCTCTGAGTCCCTGCTTCTTGCCCAGGCCTCGCCCCTCAGGACGCCCCTTGGGGCGACCAGGATGGGCTGGGTGGGTCCAGCATGGCGGATGCCGTCACAGACTGGCCAAGCCCCACTCCCGCTTTCGCTCACGAGCTTTATGATCTCTTCTGAGTAATGCCCAAACTTGTTCTCCCTCACAACGAGGGAGGAAGCTGAGGACCAGCGAGGAAGGGAGCAGACTTGGATCACACATGCTGGTGCCAGGGAGGACCCGAGACGCCTGTCAGGGGGAACAGGTGCCCTGAGCAAACTCCACACAGGTTTGTGGACCCCCCCCCCCAGACCAAAGCCCTCGAGACACCGGGAACTACAAATCCCATCACCACCCAAGGGAGGGCTGCTGGGACCTGAGGGATGGGGGTTAAGCCGCCAGGTTTGGCATAAAACCAGACACGTGGGCCTTGGGGCTGTCTCTTGGCCTCACGGCTCTTGGCTCTTCGTCAGCTCTCAGCGCGCCTTTGGGATTCCAGGTCGGCGGAAGGGGTCGGACACAGTCACGAGTTTATCTCCCTCTTTTTCTCCCTGAGTTAGTTGTTTCTTTATTTCCCTTTCTTTTATCAATAAACCTTTTATTAGTCTTTTGTGTGTGCCTGCGGTCGAGTATTAATAAGTCCCTTGTAAGCGCTCGGGTGAGGACCCACAGTCAGGCAGCCACTTCACATCAGGGTTGCCCTGTAACACTTCCACGACTCGGGCTGCCCCCTCACGGGCCAGGCGGCAGAGGTGGCCGCGGCTCCCAGGCAGGCCAGGGGCCCGCGGAAGTCCTCGGAGGGCCTGCAAGGTCTCCTGCAGATGGCCGGCCAGAGCCTCTTCAGTACAGTGTCAGTGCCAGGCACCCCCAGAGACAGGGCTCTCCTCACCGCACAAGGCCGCTGCTGCACCCCGATCCAGTTGCAGGAGTGCCCCTGTGTGCGGGGCTGAGGAGGCAGGTTGCTCCCCATGCTGGGGAATCCACCTCGCTCCTGCCTGCCCACTCAGGATATAGAGGCAACCCTATATCCTGCGTTCCTGCCAGGGAACTTCCCTCCAGGGGCTCCCCTGGGGCCTGTGTGAGGGGGTGAGAAGAGCTACGAAGGAGTCTGTTCTGTTCATTCCAGAATCCTCCTCTGGGCGGGGCCTCCTGGGAGCAGAGCTCCTGCCCACGAGGCTGGGAGTTGGCTCCGCTCTGGCTGGTGCTGCTGTAGGTGACCGCAGGACACTGGGCCCACCGCGTAGCGCCCCGGGCAGTGCCCTGGCAGGGAGGCCATGGCGGAGACTGCCAAAAACTTCGTGTTCCTCATTGACTGGGCTACCACCTCTCGGCAGTCAGTCCTCTCTGTGGCCATGAAACTCTCTTCTTGACTTCTCGGCTGTACACCCTCCCGCTTGGGTACACTGTCTGGGGTGCTCTCTGCCATGTGCTGGGGAAGCCCCACTTGCCACCCACCCCACATCCAAAATGGATATCATTTAGAGTGGGGCCCATTCCGCTCTTGTCTCCTTAGCAGCCTTCAGTCCAGAGCCCGCTTTGGCTCAGTAGGTGAGTGTAGGCGTCCTGCAGTCACACACGCCGTGGGGAGACCCAGCGCATCTTGTCCTTCAGCGAGAGGGAAGAGCCAGCTCCTGGGATGGGGCTGTGCCTACTGTCACCCGGGGACCACCGAGTCAGAAGTGGCCAAGAATTTCTACCCAACACTGCAGGTTCCCACGGACCAGAGAGGGAGTGTGACTTGGCTGAGGACGCACAGCATGTTGGAGTTGAAACCGACTGAGACTTGGGGCCTGGACTCCCAGTCTGGGGGTCCTGGCAGTTCTACCTGTGGTTCTGAGTTGTGTGTGTCCCCCAGGCAAGGGGGCCAAGTCCCACCTGAGGACCAGGGAGTAGCTGCTAGAGAAAGTCCCAGAAGGAAGACGCATGGCATCACCCCTGCCCTTGAAGGCTGATGACGTTTCAGAGTGCAGGGGGAACAGGAGAAGAAACTGAGGCCTTGAGAGGACAGGGTCTGGGCCGCGGGGCTGCTGTCTCTTCACCAGCCTCCTTGTCCCTTCCTGCAGTGGATTTGGGACAGGGGCTAGCTGGGGACCTCACTCCAGCTCTGAACCCTTGGAAGGGTCCCATACACCCTCCTGAGCGCCGCCTCCCCACTCCTGTCAGCCTGAGGTAACAGGGGGAGGGGGAGGATATCCCTAAGCCAGGAAAGGGTGTGCTGGGGGGTGGGAGGCGGGTCTCCAGGTACCACAGGTCTTGGGGTTCCAACTTGCGGCCCCAGCACCACATCCTGGAAGCTCACTGCTTGTTGGCAATCTTCTTCTTCCGAGCAGAGACCAGGTCATAGACGGGCACGCGGGTGATGCTGGCTCTGGAACGAGAGTGGGTGCAAAGACTCAGGGCTGAGTCGACTGTCAGGGGCTGTCTTGTCTCCGGAGCCTGTAATGGGGTACAGATCTCCTCTGCAGGGGTCAGCCTGTTCCACTGCAGGGGCCTGGCCAGGTGGCCCCAACAAGGACCTAGCAAGAGCAAGTCCAGTGTCGCTGGTGTGAGAGGGTGAGACTAGAAAAGCCTTGGGAATTCTGTCCCCAGATGCCCCTGGGCCCTCTTCAGACCCCCACCAGACTCCCAAAGGAGGAGGGAAGAGCCAGGAGCAGCCCGCAGCCCAGCTTGTGGGCCCAGTGCTGCCCCCACTGGTTGTGCGGCTCTCAGCAAGCCCCTCCCTCTCTGGGCCTCAGTTTCCCTGTGGGTAAGCTGGAGGTAGCAATGAGCTTGGTGTGGAGGCCTCACAGGGCTGCTCTGAAGTCTGAGGGCAAAGGTCTGCAAGCCCCAGGCATGCCCGGCCCAGCCACCAGCCATGTTCTCCCTCTGGACCTCACGCATGTCTGCCCAAGTCTCGGAGTGAAGGGTGTCCTCCTGCCCCTCACCTGGCTCACCTCTACCTGTCCCTTTGCCGCCCATCTTGGCACCTCAAAACCAATCCCAACATGGGTCTTTCTCACCTGGCCATACCCTGTCCCTGTTTCTGGTCCATGGTGCAAGTTCGTTGCCATGGTGACAGAGGCCTGGCCATCCTCTGCAGCCACCTCCCCCACTGCTTGGCCCCCACACTGCCCGGCCTGCCACTGCCTGGCCCCTGCTGCCCAGCACCGGCCACCAGGACTTGGGTGTTTCTCAGGTGGCCTGTGCTGATGTGCCTCTCACCTGCCTGTCCATGCCCTTCCACCTGCCCTACCACCCGGGAGCCTTCCCTCCACCCCCACCAGCTATTCCCCGCGCTTCCGAGACAGAGGCTAACAAGAACACCAGCCGTGGGCACTCGCAGCGCCAACACTAGGCAAAGAGCTCAGCATACTCCTCTCACCAGATCCCCTAGCAGCCCCAGGAAATCAGCACCCAATCCCCTGCGTCCCGGGCCTGGCACAGGGCTGGCACTCGGTGCTCAGGGAACTTGGGTGGGAGGGATCTGCATGTCAGAGCAAGGATGGAGATCCTGGGGTTAGCCCCTCCACAGACAAGCAGATGTGGCCGCGAGAGAAGCAGAGGCTTCCGGACAGACAGGAGGCCCGTCCCGCCGGCTCCCTCCTCACCGGATGGCCTCGATCCACTGGTCCCGCTCGTCGGCGCTGGCGGCAGAGATCCGGTAGGACGCATGCTTGCCCTCCACCACCTTGCCGTCCCCGTCGGTCTTGCAGGCCTTTATCTTCTGGCCGCGGCTCTCGGGGTTGTAAAGCTCCAGGCAGAACTGTGAGGAGAGGTCCGGTGAGGTGGGTGGGAGGGAGGGCTCTGCGCTGGGCAAGACCTGACCAGCAACAGGACACATACTGCCCAGGGAAAAGAGAACCCACTACATGCCAGGCTCTACCCCAATCCAGCATGTCCCCCAAATTTCCAGTTGACAGATAGGGAAACTGAGGCTCCGAAAAGAACACTGAAGGCCATTGAGCCCTGTCACAGGCAGGATCTGACCATGAGGTCATGCCCTTCTGATGACCCTGCCCTGCCCCCAGGGTCCACGGCCCAGCCACGCAGGAGGAGGGCAGGCTCCTGATCACCCAGCCCAGCTGCTGTGCCCCCTTGTTTAGGAAGCCCTTCTAGTCGCCCTGGTGCTGGCCCCATACCCAGATACATACTGGCTTCTTGGGGTCATCCACCTTCTGCACAGAGAGGTTCTCAAGAGGTATGATGCCCCGCGGCTCCTTGTCCTGCGGGGAAACGGGAGGGAAGGTCAGCACCCACAAAGGACAGGAAGTGAGCTGGTGGGGCTCCCCAAACCCAGACTCTGTCTAGCCCTGGAGGGGGTGAGGAGCACTGTGTGGAGCACAGGGTGAGGGGCAAGAGACCCCCCTCAGCCTGCTTTCCCTTGGGCCTTGGCCCCTCCCCTCCGCTTCTTAGAAGCTCAAGTTCCCCATCTGTAAAATGGGCACAGAGGTGGACAGGGTGGTTTCCAAGGGGCCCCACGCTCTGTTAGTGGGATCCTGGAAGGATGTGGGGGGGCAGGCTCTGGAGCCCCAGGCTCACCGTGGTGAACTCGAAGTAGTAGAGGCAGTTGTCTGTCAGGATGAACCAGCGCCGTTTCCATGTCTTCACGCGGCCCCCTGCGGGAGGCCGGCAGCCACATCAGCCCCTGCTCCCTCCCTGCCACGCCGTGCCACATCTATCCCTTTCTCACGCTGAAACCACAGAGGCTCTGTCACCCCCAGGCTTTCCCTGGCTCTTTCATCTGGCATTCAAGGCTCCTCCAAGATCAGGTCTCGGAACGGACACTGGTCAGTCCCTGCACACCCCTGCCACTCCCTCCGCCTGCTCCCTGCCTGGCACCTGCTAAACCTTTCATGTTTTGTTTGCAGGCAATGCAAGTGGTCAAAAACATCCATGCATTAGTTGCCGCCACCATGAGGGGGGCTATGATTAGCCCATTTTACTGATGCGGAGGCGGGGCCAGAGCCTAGGGCAGGTGCCCAACATCCCACTGCTGAGCTGAGATTCGAGCCTGATGTCCAGGTCTGGCGCCCACAGCAAGCCCTCCCAGTGTCTGTTGCCCCATTTCATGCCTGTGCACACGGGCTGAGGAGCCTGAGCAGCCAGTGTGGGGAGGAGCTGGGGTCTGTGACCGAGAGGCTCCCGGGGACGAGAGCTGTGGGCTGGGCAGCCGAGGAGGCTGGAGGTGGGCAGAGGACAGACAGGCCTGTGGGCATGGAGAGGGCTGGGGTGCACCCCAGGCAGAGGCCCTGCTCAACACCGGGCAGAAGTCCCGTGCCTAGCCGGGGCTCCCCTGCCCGTGGGGGAGGCATCCAGCAGTGTACGTAGGTGCAGGGGCAGGTGGCTTGTGCCGCCAGAGTTTGCAGCCACCGCAGCAGCTACCCCCAGCCCCTCTGCAGGCCTGAGACACCCCTATGCCCTGCTTATGCCGAGGAAGGCTCCCCAGAGCCACATCCTGTCCCCCCCCCGCCCTGCTCCAGGGACACCACCGCAGCTGCCGCTTGCTGGTATGTGAGCTCAGGCAGCTGCCCAGCCTCGCGCCTGGCCTTCCTCAGCGCCCCCAGCAAGAGCCGGACCTGCAGCCACAGGGTCTGCCTGTGACCCTCCAGCCTCTCCTCCTCCCTCCCCTGCACAGACTACCTGCATCCTGCTTCCCTCCTCCCCCCGCCCCGTGCCCTCCATTCCAGACAGATGGAGCATGGGGCAGGTGAGCGCTGTGCTGGGTGGGGTCAGGTGCCAGGGGCCTGAAGCACCGGGGGCTGCATGTCAGTGCCAGCGCGTGCTGTGTCAGTGCCGGCGCGTGCCCGTGCTCACCCAGCTTGAGCAGCCAGCCCTCGCGGTCGGGGTTGAAGAAGGTGTGGGTGAGGTCGTTGCCGTCGTCCTCAGGGATGGAGAAGGGCTCGCTCTTGATGCTGTCGAAGAGGTTCTGTCGGGGGAGGGAGGGAGGGCCTGGCTGGGCCGTCCACTGGTCTGGGGCCTGGGCCCGACTGGCCTGAGTGGCCTTGGGTGGGTCCCTCTCCCTGGGGCAGAATCTCCCTCCCGTGAGCTCCTTGTTGGTCCCCAGCCTCCTCGACGAGACCCTCCCTGGCTGCCCTAGGCCCCTCGCCCCCATGCTACATGCTCCCCTGCTCTGCTGTAGGGCGGGGAGGCCAGCCTGCTGCTCATCCTCAGGCCCCCCAAAGCCTAAAGCAGGTAGGCAACTCTTCTGACTGTGCGGGTGGCACCCCCAGACACCCCAGGCATGAAAACGCATGCAGGACAAGAACACCGGCTGGGGTGCCAAGGCTTCTGGGTCAGACCCTGCCCAGTGCTGGAAGGCTGGTGGCCCTGGCATGCCCCTCACCCCTTCAGGCTGCCATGTCATCATCCAAAAAATGGAGAGTGCAAGGCCGACCTGCCGAGGCTCTGGGGGAGACATGAACTACCAGGTCTTGGAACCCTCTCCCCAAGCCAAGGGAGCACTGTCCCCTCCCCCACCGCTACCCAGAGCTGCTCCTGGGGCCGGATGATCATTCCTGTGGCTGAGGGTGCTGGTGACCAGGGCGCCCGCCGGGACCAGCAGTCCACACGTTCACCTGCGTGGGCACGTACGCACAGGCGCACACGCAGGCGCTCTGGAGCAGAGCAGCCAGGGCCAGGGCCCCCTCTGGCAGCACCCATAGGGGCAAGGGCCCCCTCCTCTGTTTAGGTGCAATAGGGAGAGAAGTCAGGTGTACCCTGGGGACGAAGAGGAACCACTGGGGGCCGGGGGTCTCGCAGAGAGCAGAGAGCTGGCTGAAGGAGAGGCTCAAGGTCCCTGACCTGGCGCTCAAAGGCCCTCTCAGACAGAGGGCAGAGGCCTGTGGGGGTGGGGAGCTCCTGAGGACAGCTTCTTGGAGGATTTCCTAACAGTGCAGCTGACATACAGAGGGGCAACCCTGTGGGACAATGAGGCCCTCATCCCCAAGGGTAAGCAAGTCAGGGCTGGGACCTCACCAAGGGCAAGTTGCTGATCCCTGGCAGCTCACCCAGTGTGATCTCTCTGATCCCCACCCTATGTGGGGCACGTGCTCCACGCACAACCAGCCCAGGTTTCTAAGTGTCTGGAAAAACACGCTAAACCTTCATTTCTGCTTATTAAAACCAGACAATGCTGGGTCTCCGCTCTCAGGTGATTAAATCATTTCTTTTTGCTGCATTTGTGTGCGTTGCTGTTCAGAGGCTTTCCTCCAGATTTTAAATGAAAATGTCACAAGTGTTGTTTGATTTCCCCAAAGTTTTAGAAATGGGGTTTGCTGGTTTGTCAAGGCTCTTTTTGCCTTAAGAGCTCGGGGTCCAGCACGGGTGGCAGGCAGAAGGTTTCCCCGGACTGGACAGAGCTGACTTCTGATGTCAGGCACCAGGGTCCCGGGCCCCGCTGGCTGAGGGTCTGGCATGGGGAGGAGCAGGGACCCCATTCTCTCATTGAAGCCCTTGCAACTGGCAGCAGCAGGAGACCTGCTGGCCTCTCACCCAGACCCAGCCTGGCCCTGGGGATCCCCGAAAGGCACTGCCTGGGGAGCAAGGGCTGCAGCAGAGAGCCCTGTCAGAAAAGCTGTCAAACCAGACAAATATTTGCAAGGGGGGTGGGGGGTAGAAGGGCGCCTCGGCCTCCACAACACCCTCAGTGGCCCCAAAAGCTTCTGCATGTGCCTTATCAGCCTGCACATTCACATTCTGCCCCGACAAAGAAAACAGCTCACTTTACCCACATTTCCTGTACCTTATAAAAAAAACAGTTCCACTCTCTCGCCTCACCATAAGAAAACACCCCCACACCTATCACCACCAAGCCAGCTGTGTGGCTGTGACCAGAAATACAGCGCTTGCTTTCCGCTAGGTGCTGGCCTTGCATCTGTCCCTCGCCTCCTTGGCTTTCTTCTGGGGAATCACCACCCTCTTCCTCTCTGTCCAGGTGCCTGGTGGGGGAGGGTTGACACCCTCCTTCACTTCCCCCAACTGGCACCAGGAGGGGGTAAAGGACTCACAGCTGGCTAATCAGGGACTGATTCAGAGGGATACATGTGACCCAAGTCAGCCAATAAATCTTAATTCTGGGACTTTAGTTTAAGCTTCTTAGCAGGATGGAAGCCTGGAACTGCCCAGGTGTCTCCCCACAATTTGGGGACCGCCTATTTAAGAGGGTAGCATCATGGAGGAGAGGGTAGCTGTGAGGTGGAGAGGTGGGCTTGAGGCCTAAGCTCACTGAGCCCCTGAATCTAGCCATGCCTGAAGCTGACCCATCTGAGGCCACACTGATTCCCAATTTTTAGCTGAGATTCCTCTTGCCAGGAAGCCACCAGCACCTAGGAAACACAGCCAAGTCCTTCGTCCCCAAATCTTGCCCTCTGGTCTTTGCAGGGAGAAAGGGCCTGGAGTCAGACCCGGGCTGGGATCTGAACTCCTCACAAACTTTGAGACCCCCGGCCAGCTCTTCTGGAGCTCACTTGCCCTCGCTTGTCAAGGGGGGATGGTACCCGCTGCCTACCGTTCTCGGGACTTAATGAGAACATTGCCCAGAACTAGGCTCTGTGCTTGGAGACACTTGGGCCAGGACCCAGAAGGTCTGGGGCCGCCGGCACAGAAGATGCCTTGAATTCAAGGCTCATTCCTCTCCCAGGGGCTCAGAACCGCTAGACGCCAGGCCTCAGAGCCCTACTTGTCCTCTCCCTTCCTTCCCCCCTCCACGCTCACTCCCCCTCTGGGCAGCTCTCCAGGTGAGTGGCTCCCTCAGCATTCTAGGGTGCCTGCCAGGTGCATTATCTCTTTGTCTCTGGAGGACTATGTGAGGTTGTGAGGCTGGTGTCCTCTGCCTACTTTGCAGAGGTCAAAGGCACGCGTCAGGGCAGAGCTGGGATTGAAGGACAGAGCAGGATGGCCAGGGCAAGTGGAGTGGCCCCCCACTCCCACCATGCATCTCTGTGAAATCTGCTGTCTTTGCACTTTCGGGGTGACCTTCTAGGTCCTGAATCGGTGTGAGTTAAATTTCCTTAAATCAGCCCCCTACAAGGCTTTATCGGACCTCAGCAGGACCCAGGCTGGAATCCCAGCTTTGAATATCTGAAGGTGCTTGAGACCACGTCCTTGCTTGACACTTGGGGAAGATGAGGCCCAGAGAAAAGACCCTGCAGCTGGCAGATCCCTGTGGAGGCCCTGAGGGCAAACTCTTTGTACCTTGGAAGCTTCTGGATTAATCAGCCACTCCAAACACCCCAGGCACTTGGCGAAACACCTTATATTTCTCCACTAATCCTATGCACTGGGGGATCAGAGAGGTCAAGCCAGCTACCCCATGTCACACACCCAGAAAGTGGGAGCCAGGCCTTGGAGGAGCTGTGACTGGACTCTCTGGCTCTGTTCTCTGCCCCCTTCACCCCCCATTCCCACCTCTCCAGGCAGCAAGCACAATAAACCCTTCCCAGACCTCCCAGGCAGCATTTGAAGCTAAATTGAGATAATAGACCCGAAGCCCCTTGAGAAGAAAGTTACAAGCTCTGTACAAATGCAGCTCATTGTTATTAACAAAAGCCTTGAATTGGGAAAAATATATAAGGAGGGCGCTGCGGCCGAGCGCACGGGCTGCCGGCGGTGGCGCGGCTCCTGGGAGATGGGGGTGAAGCTGGCAATGTCCTTAGCTCGTTTCCTGTGACCAGGTGCCCAGCCCCCCTGCACCCCAAAGAGAAGGGGCTCCAGTTCTCCGATGGTTGCCTTTGCTCTTCCTAAGTGTTGGGATTTTAAACTAATACTCATTACTCTTCACAGGAACCAGCCGCTGTGCAGTCTGTGCTCTGTGCCTGGCGTGGCCTCTGCCCTCCACATTTTTAAAAACTGTGACCCTCAGCAGCTCTGATATTGGCCCCCCGCCCCCCCCTGGGGGAGGCACGGTGGTTTGGAGAGGGTGGGTGCCTGGGTCACCCAGTGGGTCAGCGGGAGGTGGGACTTGACCTGGGCTCTAAGCCACTCTCCAGCCCTCGTCTGTCCTGCCCTCTCGAGAAAAACTTCTCTGGGGTCTGAGGAGGAAGGTGGGCAAAGGGGTGGCCCCCAGAGTCTTCCCAGACCCAGGTGCCCCCTGGACTTGTGCAGCAGGAGATACACAGGGCGCTGGGCCTGGAGGGTGGAGTTTGTACTCCTTCTGCCCCTCCTGTCGGACGTGGTGCCCTGAGTTGGGCCCAGGGCCTGGTGCAGTGTGGCTGGGGCCGGGGGCTGCCTGCCGAGGAGACGGGGGCCTGCATTCTGCCTGGCTTAATTGCTGGGAGACTCCAGTGTCCTCTCGGAAGAGCCTGGGCTCTGAGGGCTTTCAGCTCTGTGTGCAGAGAGTCTAGGAGCTGGGGTTCCAAGACATGGACTGGCGCCTGGGGCGCTCCTTGTGGAAGCTGGGAGTGATGGGTACCCAGAGTTCCCCAAAGGCTGACCTCCTGGGTGGCTCATCACCCCGTTCTTAAAACGGGGATACAGGGGAAGGCCCATTTCCGGGACAACCTCTTTTGAGGTGGTTGGACTTAATACCTCACCAGACCCGGTGGCCCTCAGCACAGCCCCTCCTGGAGGGGTCTCTCAGAGAACCCCCGTGGGCTGTCACTCCAGGGACAGCCCCTCCCGGAAGGCGGGGTGGCTGGGCGGCTGGGTCACCGCCCCTCTTACCCGCAGCTGCTCCTCGGGCAGGTCGCTGCCGTTGTTGATGCCGCGGTTCATGGACACGAAGCGTTCAAAGGGCGTCTTGTCCTTGACGTTGGGGTTGTGGAGGCTGGTGTTGAGCATGATGATGGAGAAGGACAGGACGTAGCAGGTGTCTGTGGGGTGGGATGTGGGTCACCTCCCGGCCCTGGTCGCCCCCTTCTCTGCCCCAATCCCTGAGGGCACCAAGAGCCAGCTGTCCACGACCCTGGTGGCCGGGCCTCCCGGCTGGGCCCTGGACCTGGCTTCACCTGCTCTGGCTGGGCTCCCGCTCCCAGCTAACTCCAGCAGTCACGTCGCTGCCCTTCATGTGTGCCCCGCCTGCACTTCTGCCCGCACCAGGCCCCTGCCAGGCGGGCTGGCCCTTCCCTTCTCTGCCCGTTTCAACCCTCTTTCTCCTTAGCTCCAGCTCCAGCCTCCTCCCCACTGAGCCGTCCAGCCCCTCTGCCCACTCTGTTCTCTGCCTCCTCGGAGAACACTCATTGTCGCAGCGCTGCTCCGGGGCTCAGTCCCGGGCTGCGGGGGAATCATGCAGGCGGTGAGGGGCTCCTGCGGCCCAGTCCCTGCTCCACTATGCAGACTCCATGGGCTGGAGGCGGGGTGGAGCCCGTGGGAGGGGCCACGGCTGCTCTGGGTCTTTCGTGAGGTTTCTAGGCCCTGGAGCCAGAGGCAAGGAGTCCTGCTGTGTCCCCAACTCCCTGACGGACCCTGGGAAGCAGTGACTGCCCTGAGCCTCAGCTTCCCCACCTTGATGTCAGGAGGTTTATCCTGGAAGTAGCTTCAGGTTCCAGAACACCGACAACTGTGCCTCTGCTGACAATGGTACCTGAGCTCCTCATATCCTCATGACAGCCCCAGGGGGCAGGCGCCGTTGCCCATTTTGTGGAAGGGCACACGGGGCACCGGAGGTTAAGTTACATGTCACAAGATTAAGCAGTTGGACTGTGATTCAGATTTGGTGCTTTGGAATTCCTCCCTTCTCACCGGTGTTTACTGAGCGCCTACTTATGCTTGGGCTGGGGGTTCACCGGTGAAACTGATATGGCCATGCCCTTGTGGGGTGTGTAGATTTGGGGAGCTGACAGATAGCAAAACATCAAACCCCAAATTCACGCTTAACCACAAAGCAGGGCAAAGGCTCTATGGGGCTTGCTCAGGGACCCACAGCTAAGAAGTGGGGTGCTAAGGATAGTGCCAACCTCTCAGGGTTGATTTAAGGATCAAATGACTTTTCACCGGCAAAGTGCTTGGCACCTAGGCGTTGCTCAATTAGTGGGATTGGTTCATGTCCCCATGGTCACTTCAGATCCAGAGAAGAGGCCAGGACAAGTCCGCCACGATGGCCTCTGTCCACCGCAATGGGAAGGTATGGGAGACTGACCTTTGTTGATAGCTTACCCTTTGGCCCCTCCATCCTGCTTCATGCTTCTGAGTCTTCTCTCAAACTAGAACTCCTGTCCAAAATCCCTCTCTCCCCTTAACCTACTAGAGAACTCCTACTTCAAAACCCCACCTAGACCCTACTGACTCTGGGAAGCTATCCTGGACATGTTGACTCCCCATGCCTGCCTCCCTGCACCATCATTTCTGATTCTTCACCCACGGATCGTGTGCTGAGGCAGTTCTGCCCAACACGCCCCTAGCAGCGGGCCTGGCATGGAGTTGTGTTCAGTGAGGGTTCATGAAGGGACCTGAAATCCCAGGGTCTGGGTGTTTGGGGAAGCCTGAGGGAGTGGGGTGGCCATGGACCCTTGTGGCACAGATCTGGGCCTGGCAGTGCTGAAGGGGTCCCAGATCCCAGGCCCCACCCCACCCTGGCACCTGTGGACTGGAAGACACCCGGGTTGCAGAGGCAGTATCGGGTGGCAAAGGTCTCCATCATCCGATCGATCTTCTGGGCCTCGCCCGGCAGCCGGAAGCTCCACAAGAACTGCCTGGGAGAGCAACAGGGCTGAGTGGGGTGTGGGGCTCTCAGGGGGCCCTGGAGCAAAGTGCTGGCCAGCACTGACCCTGCAGGGCAGCCAGGAAATGCCTTCTCGCACATCCAGGGGTTGAGCATGTGCTCCCCCAGCCCACCAGAGCCCTAGCAGTGCCTGCAGCCCAGCCCACCTCAGCCCATGGGGGGCCTCTGTCTGCTCCCAAACCCCTGACTGTGCCACCCTCGTGAGCTTGGCCCTGCCCCAGGATCACTCACCTGAGGGCCTGGACGAGGTTGAGGTTGGCGAACTCGTGGCAGTCCACAAAGGCCTGGAGCACCTGCAGGTTAAAGGGGTCCCTGGGGAAGGGGTGGAAGGGAGGAGCGGTACATTTGGCACCTTGCTGGGACCAGCTCCTGGAGGGGGTTGAGGTGGCAGGAGGAGAGGGGGTTGAGGTGGGACAGGCATCCATCCCGCTGGCTCCAGCCATAGTCTGGGCTTCTCACATCTGTCTGACATCTGTTCACTCCCCCCTCCCTCCAAGGTGCACACCTAGGTCCTCCCACACCCAAGCAGACCCCCACGCACCCCCCAGCTCACCAGCATAGCTCTAGCTTTGGAGAGGCCTGGCCCAGGGTCACCTCCTTCCCCTGTCACTGCCTGCCTGAGTGACCCCCTTCAAGGCATTTGACCTTCCCAAGCCCCAGTGACCTCAACCTTGTTCACCCACATTTCCTCCTTCTGCCCTGCTCTTAAACCAGGATGCACTGCTTTCTTGTCACCTGCATCCCTTGCGCGCTCAAGAGCAGGTATCCTCTGGGAGACTGGGAGAGGGGTGTACTCCATAGAGTTTAGACGTTTCTGACAGAGTTTCCTTATTTTGGGACCTATTCTCACAGAATGTGCCTCCCCTAGGCAGGGTTTTGTCTGTCTTGTTTACTGCTGTAAATCCAGGGCTTAGAACAGTGCCTGGCACAGTAGATACTAACAATATCTGTTTTTGAGAGGAAGGAAGGAAGGTAGAAAAGTTTTGGTTCAGAATCTACAGGAGTGATCAGTTTGCTCCCTCAGGTCCCAGAAGTGATGACACTCTGAACCTAACTCACTCGTCTGCGAGCGCACGCACACGCGCACACACACACACACACACACACACACGTGTGTGCACACCTGCTCATCCTTCTTCCCTGCCTCCCTCAGCCCCACCTCCTTACCTTTCCCCTAAGTAGATGCCGATGGCCGTCTTGTTGAGGCCCTCGCCCTTGTGCAGGAACTGGGCGATGTCCTGGACATTTGGGCTCAGCAGCTTGTGCTCAGTGAGATACTGGATGCCCTGGGGGTCATACACAGAGCCCATGAGAAATATCCACCCCTCACCCCTGCACAGCAGCCAGCCTGGGAGGAGCGGGAAGGAGCCCCAGTGACCAGAGCCCGGGGGTCCAGCATTCCGGCACCGACAGTCTGTTCTGGAAAGCTCCATTCTCTTCTTAATCAAAGCTACTTTTGTGAGGTAGTCAGTACCCCATCACTGGAAGCATGCAAGGAGGATGGGGTTCCTGCAATGAACCACCCTCTGTGGTGTCAGCTGTGGTTTCCCCTGGTCTTCCCTGTCCTGCAGGAAGGAGCCCAGCTGCCAGCCAGCTGGGTAGGGGTGGGAGCTGGGGTGGCACCCAGGCCGGTGGGGGCAGGATGGGGGAGGGCTGCCGGGGGAGAGCAGTGGCCTTGCCCTGAGCCCTCAGCGCCCCAGGACTGGCTCCCCAGCTCAGCGGACGGGCCGGAAGAAACTTCTGCAGGCTGAGTCCCGGAATCCAAGGGCTCTGCTGTCTAAAGCGCCACTCAAGGGCAGGAAATAGCCCCAGAGCCAAGGGGTGCCAAGTCCACGGCCGCTGAGACCCCACCCTCTCCTCCTGGCTCCAGCTCACTGTGCCCGGTGTGTGTGTGTGGGGGGGTGACGGGCCCGCCCGTGGCAGACTGTGAGGCTCCGGACATGGTGCCCAGCCTGGCTAGGCCTCAGCGTCCTCGCTGGCAGGGTGGGCCAGCGTGAAGCTGCCCCCATGCAGCTTGCCTGACCCAGGGGCCCTCCCGCAACTGCATACCTTCATGGGGTCCATGTTGAACTTCTTGCGTCCTATGCACAGCTCTTTCTCCTTCTGGGCCATCCGGCTACAGACACACCATGTCAGCCCGGGCTGCCCCAGGGCACCCCCTCCAGTCCCCAGGGGCCCTTCCTTAAGTGAGAGGGCTTCCAAGTGGAGTCCCCAGGCCCTTCGTGGAAATTCCCTGAGACTATGAGCTACATGGGCCCAGCACCCAAAGCCATGGCCTTGGGCGGGGGTGGAGCTATGTATGGGGGTCTGTGCAGAATTGCTCCAGGAGGAGCTTTCAGGGGACCCCTGTGCTGGGGTGGGGGTGCAGAGACTTGGGAGGCTGGGGTGAGAGCACAGTCTCTGGGGCAAATCCCTCCACTGCTGCCTGGAGGACACACTTTGGCCCAGTCACTTCCTCTCCTGGCCTCAGTTTCCTCATCTGTAAAATGGGGCCAATACCACCAGCTGCCTCCCTCTCAAGATAGTTGGGAGTTCAAAGCACTGAAAATGGCTGCTGGTCAGTGCTCTGTAAAGGCCACGGCATTGTGGGGACCCAAGCAGGGAGTCTGGGGACACAGGGCCAAGTGTGTGGACGTGTGTGCAAGCCCATTTATGTGGGGCTGGAAAGGTGGACATTAGAGGCTTCTGAGAAGTAAGGGTGGTGGGGTGGGAGGTGAGGATTTCCAGGGACACCCTACACAGGAGTCAGTGCCCTGCGGCCCTCGGGGATCAGGTAGGACCCAAGCTTCTTACTGTATTTGTGAGAAAACAAGGCCCAGAGAGGGGAGGGGCCAGCCCCAGTTCTCACAGCCAGCGAGAGCCTTCCCATCGAAAAGGCAGGGTGGGCGCTGCTGTGGGTGGGGTGCGGTGGACCAGTCTCCCACTGCCATGGGCCCAGGTCCTGTCTCCGTGGGGCCCTTGGCCTCCCCATCTGTGCTCCCTGTCCTCAGGGCTTGGATCCCTCCGCCCCCACGGCTCACCCCAGGATGCTCTGGCCAGCGACTGGTCAGGTGCTGGTGGGTTGGGAGAGACGTGGGTTGGAGTGGCTGTGAGGACGGCCTTGTTGCTCGATTGGGGCCTGTCGGGAGGCAAGGCCCAGACCAGACCGTGGATGGTCCCGGCCACCCTCTTCCTATCTCACCGCTGCAGCCCCCTCCTCCGGGCTCCACTCTCTGACTTCACCAGAGCCCAGGCCTTGCCCACTCATGGCAGGGCATCCTTGGGAAGCCGCCGCACTGCTCCCGGGGCCCTCACCTCTCCTCCGCGCTCTCGAAGCAGTCGATTTGTGCAAACACATCTGCGATCTCATCCTTCAGCTTCTGTGGATGGCGGAGGGGAGAGTCAGGGCCAGAGGGGCAAAAGGGCTTCGCTCTCCCACACAGTCACTCCCAGCCCTGGGCACGACTCCCAGGGCTCTGACCTGAGCTGCCACAGAGGAAACGCCTCCCAACAGCCCTCCCTAGACGCCTCGCGCCCTGTGCTCAGAATCCCAAGTCAGCTCAGCACCTCTGTCTGCACCCAGTTCCCTACCTGCTCCTGTCTTGGGGGAGGCAGTCCCCATGTCTCCCCTTTTGCCCCTTTCTGTATCCTGCTTTCCCATCTCTCCCCTCTGTAGCTGTAAAGTCTCCTGTCCTCTAGCCAAGCCCACGCGGCAAGCCCGCCTCCACCCGGCCGCCATCTTTCTGAAGCTCAGCTTGGTGCCTCCCTTTTCCCTGCCCAAACTCCTTCCACAGCTCCTTGTTGTCTCCCAGTCAGGAGGCGCACATCACTGCCCTGCGACCAGGCCCCAGCAACTCCCTGAGATCTAAGCGGTGCTGGTGATGGGGTGGTCCTGGGGGCTTGTTTTTGGGCCCAGGGTTTGCTCTAGGACCCTGTCTGGACCCTGTCAGCTCCTGTCCATGACATCTTGGCTGAGTCATGGAGAGGCTTCCCCACAAATAAAATGGGGTTCACTTGTAAGTATTAACTGAGAATCTACTCCGCTCTGACTATCGGGCTGGGGAGACCATGGTGGGCCAGCTTTTGCGGAACTAACAGTGGAGTGGGGTTGGGACCAGGAGGTGGATTTGAGCTGAGAATGAACTTATGAGGAAGAGCCATGACGAGACCTTGGGAGTGTCCCTGGCAGAGGGAGCAGTGGGTGCAAAGGCCCAGGGGCTAGCGCCGCGCCAGGATCAGGACCAGGGCCTGTTGAAGGCCCCTGAGCATAGATGAGCTGACAGCTGAAAAATAGGTGAATTGTCAGTTGCTGGGCAGGCACTGCTGTTGGCCACATTTTAGGGCAGATGAAACTGAGGCCGGCATGGGGTTGATACCTTATTGTGCCACAGGGGTGGAGTTAGAAGCTGCCAGGGATGAGATGTGGGGACCCTTGGCATAGCTCAGCCCCTTTCCACCCCTGCTGTCCTGTTCTTGCTAGTCCCAGCAGTGGGGCTCACGAGTGGAAGTCCTGGAACTTCTGGACATTCATGGGGCGGGGCTGAGGCCAGGTGTGGGCTCAGTCTGGCATGCTCTCTGCCCAGGCTGGGTCACGAGCGGGTGGAGAGGGGTGCCTGTGTGTGCTGGGTTATTTGTAGGTGTGTATGGACCTGAAAATGTGTGTCCACGAGTGTGCACCCACCTGAATGTCCTCCAGAAGCTGCTCCCGGTGCCATTTAATCTTCTGTATTTCCTCTGTCTCCCCACTGCTCAGCTCTGCTGGGTCTGGAGAGAGGAGAAGCAGGGTCCCACTCATGCCACCGTTCTCGGCTCCATCATGCAGCTCCAGCCATGCTGGGCTCCAGAAACTCAGGACTTGCCCTCTTCCTCAGTTCAGATGTCACCTCCTCCAAGAGGCCTTCCCTGACTGCCCAGTATGGAGCAGTCTCTCTCCACCCCGCTCCTACCCAGCTTTATGTTTCTTCAGTCCCCCTGGGTACAAATTCCCTGACATGGACTTGGTTACTGACATCTTTTCTGGCCTGCTTATTACACCTCAGCTCACAAGGGAAGGCCCTGCCTCTATTCTGCTCCCTCCTGCAGCTACTACAGCTAGAAAGTACCCGACACATCTCAGGTACTTGATAAGCTACTTGCTGGAGGCATTCATCTTTCCTGGAGCTCTAATTTACTCTATTGCTTGTCCACTTATTTATTTGCACAACCAGGAAGTGGTGGGTTTCATTTTTGCTTTGAATCCCATCAGCCAGTTGTGGTCACATGGCCCCACCTAGCCGCAAGGGACGCTGGACAATGAGCCTGGGGTAGGGTGGTCCTCATATCCTGACTATGGAAGATGGGGGACTGTATTGGGGGGCATGTCTTCCAATTTTTGTCCCAACACTGATGCTCGGAAAGGAGAGGTGACCTGGTCAGGGTCCCGGCGGGACACTGCCAAGTCGATGACCCTGAGCTGGTATCCTGTCCCCGGCAGGGAGTCACCTGGGCGTGAGAAGGGGTGTGAGCTGCTCCACATCCTCCCAGTGGTCTCTTGGGAGCTTTCCTTTCTGTCCCTGTAACTGAACTCTGCATTTTTGAGATCCTGGCTTCCAGGGGGTGGAGCGGCAGGAGGCAAGGCAAAAGGAAAAGCCAGTCTCATTAATCTTTAAGCTCAAGGACGCCTACTCCACGCCAGCAGCTCCATGTAAATTATGTCATCTAATCTTCACAAGGCTTTGAAGTGAGTCCCTTTCAGGTTGAGGCTCAGAGAGATTAAGTGACTTGTCCTGGGTCACACAGCTAGGAAGTAGCAGTGCTGGGTTCCGAACCCTGGCTTGCTTGGTTCTGTCTAAGCCTGCGGCCCAGGAGAAGTGGGTTCTATATGCCACTGGGGGCACGGGTTGGAAGGTGTGGAAGGTGGGTGGTGGAGACATGAGTAGGGACAAAGCAGGGGAGGCAGCAGAACCAGAACCTTCTGTTGGGGGGAGGGAAGCTGAGTGATGGTGGAAAGACCCTGTTACCTCTGGATGGCTTTGGGGTGGCAGATCAGCCTTTTCTGTTTTGTCTGTTTGCCTTCCCTGGTTTTCCTGTTGTCTGGGACTGTGTCCTGAAGGTTTGTCTGGTTTGGGCGGGGGACCGGGGAGTCTGCTGCTGGGGACCATGGGGACTGTGGTCTGTGGGTGGTCTGCATGCGGGGGGCGGGGGGCGGGGAGAGTGGTGGGACTCCCCTGTCCTGGGCAGCTCCTGGGCCACTGTCCCCTGCTCTCTCTCTTGCGGGCCGCGACATCTCAGCCCACTGCAGCTCCAGCCTGCCCCAAGCCTCGGACACTCCTGTCCTCATGAACTGATCGTCATCTCATGTCACAGAGACCAAAAGGAAGCTCCTAGAACCTCTCCTCTACAGGACCCCCCTTCCTGATCCTCAAAGTCTGAGAATGGCCCAAGATACTCCACAGCACCTCCCTCAACCCCTGTATCTTCCACACCCCTTGGTCCTGTCCCTCTTTTGTTTGGCCTCCGTCCTCACTGGCACAGGCTCTGCTCTGGAGGATGCAGCCCCCCAATGTCCCCCTGCTTCCACTCTGCCCTTTCAACCCAAGGTGTGCATGCTCCGAGATGAAGATCCACGGCTTGCTGGCCCCCCAGTCCTGCTGGTGTGACCCCTCTCATCTCGCTTGGTGCCCGGCTCCTGCCTTGGCTGGACTCTGGCAAGTGCCTGGCTGTTCCTTACTTGCGGCTGTGCCCTCGCCCGCTGCAGCCTCTGCACGTGCCGTTCCCCCTGGGCCAATGCCTTTCCTGCTCCTCTTTGCCCAGTAGCTCCCATCCACATTCCCAACCTCTTCTCAGTGCCCTGTGCTCTGTCTGGGCAAGTCTCCTCCCTCCTGCCCGCAATGGGCCAGCCAAACGGGGGGAGCACCTACGAAGTGCCAGCCCACATGCTCCAGGTGCCTCCTGCCCATTGTCTCACTGCTCTGGAGGAAGGTATTTCTGACCTCGTTCTATCAACGAGGTACCTGAAGCTCAGAGAGGTTAAGTGACCTGCCCAAGGTAACACAGCTGCAAGGTGGCAGAACTGGGCTTCACACCCGGGACTGTCTGGGGCTCCAAGGTCACCTTTCTGACCTTGATCTTCTGAAGCCATGCGAGCCATCAAAACTCCACAGATGCTGATCCTGGAGGTTCTGACACAGAAATGCCAGCCACAGCTATAGGCGGAAGATAAAGATGGAGGCAGAGATGCCTGCAGCCTGAGCTGTTCCCTTGTAGTTGATGTCAGAGGTGGGGAAGCAGAGGCACAGGCATGGATGGGAACTGCTTTCCCAGGGACTGGGGGCCTGGGGGGCGCAGAAACACCCCCACAGCACCTGTTTGCATCTTTTCCTCACACCTCTCCTCCTGTGGCCTGGCAGGTGTGTCCACGTGTCTTGCTCCTCCACTGTCCCCTCCTGCCAGGGTCCCGTCCCCAGCAAACAGCAACAAGTCAAGTGCATCTGAACCCACAGGACAGAGCTGATGCCCCGCACGGTGCAGGGGGTGCCCAAGCCCTTCCCCTATTTATTATTAAAAAGTGGAGACTTCTCCCCATTTTGGCACTGAGGACATTGAGGTCCAGGGAGAGTGACAAGGACCAGCCCGAGAGTGGTCACTTCTGACCCCAAGCCTGGAGGTGATGGTGCTTTAGGCACAGACTCCCAGGAAACAGATTTTTCCCAACTACAGCGTTAAAACACAGGTGATAGTAAAGCAGTAATATCACGGCTGCTGGCTGTTTGCTTCTCCTTGGTTCTGCGCGGCCACACCTCCCACAGGCCCACCTGGGCTGCTGGCCCACCCCTGCCCGGGCCTGTGCTGCCCTCCGCACCCCATGCCCAGGCGAGCAGCATGCCCGGGTGCCCGCCCCACTCTGCGGCTCCTCCCTACTTCCCCTTTGTCCTTCCGCTTTCCCGTCATAATTTTAGAAATCTTTCTGACTGCAGCCCGATTTCAGGACAGCTGGCCTGCTTCCCCTTTCCAAGCTGGAGGAGGGTGCTGTCCTGGGACCCTGGGCAGAGGCCCCTCAGAGCAGGCGCACGTACTCTGGGGCTGGAGGGGCGTCGCTGGGGCTGCTCCCGCCTCAGCCCCCGCCTGGGGGGTGCATCTTGTGGCTTCCTCCCTGCGCTGAGTGACCTCTATTTTTAACTGTGCTCTTGCTGCACCGGCCCAGCGCTGTCTTTGGTCACACCAGAGCTTTGCTGCTTGGACCTCTCATCTTCAAGCCAGGCCCTGGGGGAGGGGGCCTGGCCTGCTTCCGGGTATTGCACACCCACAGAGAAGGGGAGGCAGGGGAAGGGTGTTTGCTACCTGCCTGTCATTGTACAAGTTGGGAAACTGAGGCCCATGGAAGGAAGAGGTCCTTTAAAAGCACTGGCAGTGGGGTGCAGAGCTGGGACCTGAGCCTGGTCTGGCTGACTCCAAATCCCCGCTCATCCCCCCAGATATCTGCTCACACAGGATGAATCTGAGCTCAGAGAGAGGGAAGCCACATGGCCATGGAGCAGCAGCAGTTAAGATGCTGTCTGGCTGTCAGAGGAATGACCTTCACTCTCACTCCACCTCCTCCAGGAAGTCTACCCAGAGCTCCCTATCCAGCTGGAAAGAGTTTCTTCCTCCCCTACTCCAGGTCTGTCTTGCTCTCCCCCATATCTTGGACCAGCATCTCCCCTGGGCTGACCCCAGGGGTAGGTCATTGTTGTCCCAGCATCACACAGTACAGGCTTTGCACAGCAGAGGACTAGATATAGGACCGACGGATGGACGGGTGGCTGGATGGATGGGTGGCTGGATGGGTGGGTGCGTGAATCGAACCAATCAATGGTGACCTCAAATCTCCCAGTGGACCAACCTGCGCTGAGCCCATTCAGTCCCGTCTGCAGAAAGTGGGGACTGCCCTTCTGGCCCCTCCCCTCTTCTCCAGCCTGAGCCACGTGGAGCCAGGCCCTGCTCCCTGGCGGGACCCTCTTGCCTGCCAGTGGCACTTACAGCAGTCTGGGAGCCACCTGACCCCAAAAGCGGGAGAAGCGGGGAGGCGGGGGAGGGAGCCCTGTACGGGAGCCCGCAGGTAGGGAGGTTCTAGCCTCAGGAAAACCAGCTCCCCCTCTTAGTCCCCATTGACCCACCTATAACGGGGCCTTGGAAACAATGATGGTTCTCGAAACATGTCCCTGGAGCCCACGGGGTGAGGGATGGCTTGGAGTATGGGGTCAGATTGCTCTGTTAGGTTTTGTTTGAAAAAAGGGTTCTGTTGCTAACCGGGTTGACTTAAACGGGGCTGGGGAGCCCTTGTCTTTTGGGATTCCAGGTAATGCCAGAACATTCTGAGACACACAGCTCTGCCTCACAGAAACTGACAGCCAGCCAGGCCTCTCCCAAGCACGCAGCCTCCTCTCGTCTCCCCTCCAGAGGGCCGGGCTGCAGCCATGGTCATCTGCTGCTTGGCCTCGCGCGCCCCACTGGCTCTAGGCGGTGTCTTCAGTTTCCCCAAAAAGCTATCCTCAAAGCCCAAACAGGGGCTTCAGAGCCTTGTCCCAACCCCACAGTCCTCATAGTCACCAATACGGCCACCTGCGTCTTTAGTGCACACAACCTTTCTCAGCCCCACCTCCAGGCCTCTGCACTCTCTGTTCCTCTGCCTGGAAAAGTCTCCCCAGAAAGCTACGGGATCACTTCCTGCTGCTTTCACTTCTCAGCTCAAATGTTGTCTCCTCTTGAGACCCTACTCCTCGTCCTGCTCTGCTGTTCTTCATCCTGCTTGTTACCCCCTGACATATCATCCATGTATTTACTGTATTTACTGTCTCCCCTCCGAGGTGTCAATCCACTTCACTCTCTTGCTTCACTCTCTTGTCTCAGCGGCTGAACCCAGCGTGGCCCGAGCCTGGGCGCAGAAGCACCGCTGCGGGCGTCTCCCGTTCCCACTTGGGTGGATGTTTCCATGGCGATTCCTCCTCCCAGGAGCCTGGGGGGCAGCCTGCCATGACCCCATTCTACAGAAGGGGAAACCGACGCCCCGAGAGGCTGGCGCCCCGTGCTTACCTGGGTGGCACAGGTCCATTCTGAAGCCTCAGGGAAGGTGGCTCCCGCTCCCGTTCCTGATCCAGCTGCAGCTCACCGTGCCAGGCAGGGCTGTGACAACCCGGCGCTGACAGGCCCCTCTCCCCCCCACTGGGGAGGAAGTCCTGTCCTCTGAGCTCTGACGCTTGCTGAGCAGCACTTCCCGAAATGCAGCGGCTCCGGGGGCAGGTTCTCTTCGTATTCTGGGCCAGAGTAAGCAGAACAGAGACGGCTGGGCGCGAAAAGTGAAAGACACTCTCAGGCCCACAAAGGAAGGTGATCCCCGGAGGACAGAAGTTTCTCTAGGGAACAACGGACATTTACCCAGCAACTGCCCCACAGAGTCCTGTAACTCTCCCATCAACTCTCACTCAAGAAGAGAAAAAAATTAAAAATTAGTGCTAGGAAGGGCTTTTCCCCGTCTGCCGGCCAACTGGGCAACATGTTCAGTGTCTCTTTTCCCCCAGGCTGCAGGGAAACCCATGTCAAATCTGAAGCTCCTTTACAGCTGTTATATGACTAGTATATGGACTCTGGGGCCTGGCTCAGCTGTGTGACTTTCAGTTCTGTCATGCAGTTCTCTGTGAACTTGGGCAAGCCCCTTAGCTGCATTGAGCCTCAGATTATACCTCTATAAAATGGGAATAACACCTCAGGGGCCTCCCTGGTGGTACAGGGGTTAAAGTCTCAGCACTACCAAGCTATCACCAGCCGGTACACCCTAGTTCGATCCCCAGCCAGGGAGCTGACCCACATGGTGCAGCAGACGTCTCCTGTCTCACACACTGCTCCCTCGGCAGGGTATTTCAGTAGACCCGCCTGTTCTGCTCCCCACTCTGTCGCAGGTGAATCTTCTCACCGCCTCCCCCACACCTCTGGCCTGTACCCCAGTTCTCGTATGCATAAATAAATAAAATAAATATTTGAAAAAGATTACCTCGGGAGCATAGGAAGGGGAAGGGAGATAGTGTGTAAGATGATTTGGGCATAGTGGGTGCTCAATAAACACTATTTTCTTTCTCTTTTGGGTTTTAATTTTCTTCTTGGGTTAAAATTTTATTGCTTGTGTCTTTTCTGGAAAGTTGATTCTTGCCCTTTGTGGCTAACGATGTGGTGAGAAGAAACCGATATAAAAATAAGTGCTTTTTTTGTGGCACATAGTGGTTTGTTCATTTTCCCCACCAGTCTGAAGGCCCCGTGAGGACAGGTCACGTCTCTGCCCCTGTGTCTGCAAATGCAGGAGACGAAGAGAGCTCAGTGTGCAATAACAAATGAAAGAATGAAAGGGGCCTAGGGGGACGTGAGGTTGATGCAAAGGTCAACTGTAGTTTCCACCCCTTTCTGCATCCACGGCCCTTTGTGTGGAGACATGTCACTCCTCTTATCAACAGGCAGCGTCTGTTTCCTTTGACACTGAATGTGGGCTGACCTTTTGTCTTTCTTTGATCACTAGAATATGGCTAGGCCTCAGCAGACCTTGTTGCTCCGAACCCCTGCTCAGGAGCGAGGAGAACTTGCCCGGCTCACCTGCTGGAGAAGGAGAGGCTGCCTGGACAAAGGCCAAGTGTCCTGGATGCCACCTGCTGCCACCTGATGGATGAGCCTGGGGAAACCAGAAGAACCACTAAGCTGAGCCTAGCCCAAGGTCCCATCCCATAGAATCATCAGGAATAATGGATGGGTGTTGTTTTAAGCCACCAACTTGGGGATGGTTTGCTATGCAACAGAAGATCACAGTTATAGAGGCAATCCTGCGCCTTCACTTAATTGAGGAGAAAACTGAGGCTCATTTCTGGGACGTGCTGGACTGAGCTGGAACTTGAGTTAGTGGGCAGTTCAGGACAAGGAGCCAGGTCTGCTCACAACCAGTCTGCTGCCCTCAGGACTCTCAGAACCTGCCCCTCGGCCCCCTCCCACCACAGGTTCTTGCATGATACAAGTTTATTTTCTAGGAAACTTGTTGCAATTATCTCCATAGTAACATAGATTTTTCTCAACAAATCTGGGATGGACGCGGGTTGGGTAGAGCCTGCCTGCACCTTAGTCTGCCAGGGATCTCTCCCTCACCCGCCCATCCCTCCTTCCGGGCCCCCACTCTCTGCTTAGCTGCTCCCTGACTCCCACTTCCCCTTTCTAACCTGCACCAGACACTACAGTCACTTCCGGGCAGTAGTTTCTGCGGGTGGACAGGGATAAGCATTGCTCGTGCCTGTCACATGCAGGCGGAAGTGCCCAGCTCTGTCCACCCTCTCCCCTCCTCCTGTTCCCGCTCTGCTCCCTGGAGGAAGGGCCTGGAGGAAGCAGAACTCTCCAGTAGGCCCAGGTGGGGGTGGGAGGAGGCTGGGGGCTGAGACAAGGCAGAGACAGCGCCTCCCTGTCACCCCTGCCCCTGCGTTGCCAGGTGCTGGCCTTGGGGGCCAGGAGTCTCACACCTACTTGACCAGCCCAGCAGAGCCCTGCTCATCCCATGGGACCAGGCCTGGCCATACTCTCACTTGGGCGCAAGGGATCCTGGGAAACAGCATCTAGGAGGGAGGCGGGGTCCCTCAACAGGGAGGTAGGACACAGGGGGCTACTAGTGGGAAACCAGGCAAAGGCCTGAGGGCCTCTGGAAGGAGATGCCACCACAGGGACAGAGAGGAGCAACAGAGAGATGGGAGGAAACCCAGGCAGAGTCAGAGACCCCCAAAGGAAGGCCTTTGAAGAAGGGTCAGCAGTGACCATGGCAGGGCTGAGGCCCATGTCTGAGTGTCAAGTGTTAGCAGCAGGGCAGCTGGGGTGGGGCGGTGAGGCAGGGGCAATGGAAGGCAAGCCAAGGCAGGGGAAGCAGTGCAGAGGGGCAGTGGGGAGAGAGCAAGAGGTGGGCCCCCCCAACCTGGGGGTGAACTAAGGAGGGTTTTATAGAAGGGATAATTTTCCTGAGTCAGGTCACCTGAGACCCATGGAGGTTTTGATGGGTGGGGTTTCCTGGGAGGAGGTAAGGAGGGCCCAGAGTGGAGAGGCTGTCCAAGGGGGAAAGGCCAGAGGGTCCCCCAGCCCATTATACAGACCAGGAAACCGAGGCCGGGAGGGCTGCCCGGCACTCAGTGGCTGCTCAGGGGCGGGTTCCAGCTCAAGTCTGGTTCTGATGTGAGACATTGTGGTCTAATTTGAGTCATCCTTCTGGGTCATGAGTTCTAGTTATTTTGGAGGTCCTTCCCCTGGCGCTTTTATCAGCCCTCTAAGAGGCTGAAAGTGGATACTTCAGTATTTAAGGTATGTCAGGGTCCTTCGGCTGGGCAGGCTCACTTTTTGCTCAAAAGTGTAAGTACAGAGTTTACATGACCTTCAGTGTCCCCAGCCTCCTTTTCTGCCATTTTGGTCTCAGCTTGCTGGCGTCCCTGTCCACACTCGTGACCATGCAGCACGGGGAAGGCCAGGCCCTGCAGCCATAGCTTCTGGGCTTGAGCTGGCCTGTGGTTGTCCTGCCGCACAGACGCCGCCCACCCAGGGCAGGCTCCCTGCAACCTCCTGCTTTCAAAAGCAGCTGCTCTGCGGGGGCTTTATGTTATCACCTGGAGTCTTGGTTTCACTCAGGTCTGGCGAATTAAGCCAATCGGAGACCAGCCACCAAGTGTTAACTAAAAACAATCAAATAGCTACCCCCCTCCCTGGTCTCAACTAAGGGGTGCAGACTAAAAAGCCAGAGCCCAGCTGGGCTGACCTGCCAGGAAAGCTGCATCAGCCATGAGGAAGTTGTGTGGGACAAATCAGTAACTTCCGAGAAAGACAGACTCCCGGGATTTGTAGTGTGGCTGACACTTCCAGGTCCCCGAAGATAATAGGGTGTTTCCCGAATAGACAGGGTAACTTTGAACACCCCTCCTTGTCGTGCCCGATGCCTAGACAGCATGAAATAGACCCATTAACCAGACATCAGTCTGGACTTTCTCTGTAAAAGTCCTTGGAAAGGTAAAATGTTTCCCTTGCAGACTGTGTACTGTTCTTACCTTGAGGCGAAGACTTCGACAGCTTTCCCAGAGTCATCTGGAGGCTCTACCTGGGCCTGAGTCTTCAGTCTGGATTCTTTAATGAACGTGCTTAGTTTGGCTTGGCTTAGTTAGTTGAAGTCAGGAAAAGGTAGTTTGCTCCTCCCAGGGGAGGGGGCCTGGCAGCCCAGGGGCTACCCAGGAAGCTGCAGGGCAGGTCCGAGGCAGAAGAGCCCGGATGAGGTAGGGAAGGAGCCTTCCCTGGGACTTTCCAGGGCAGGAACAGGGGAGGCACCGTAAGCAGCTGATTATAATAATGTTGGGGGGCTTTTCCCACTACATTTTGGAGGGCCCTCATGGTCTGTTGCGTGGCCCTGAGATGTCACAGAGAGATCTTGGCTCCTGGAGCATAAAGGAGGCAGAGGAGGCAAGTGGGGCACGGACCGAGGCTGGCTGGTTTGCACGAGAAAAGGTGCGTTTTCCAGACCATGCACTGTCTCTAGAAATAGCCAAGGCCCGTAGGGGCAGCCCCGCCTCTGCTGTGAGACCCCAGGTGCCCCCTCATCAGGATGCAAAGATAAAAAAATAGTGATACTGGTAGGGTTGATTCTGCTAAAAAGCAAAATTCACACATTTAGGAATCTTATTGGCTTTATGAAATGATTCCCAGTCGGGCAGTGTCCCCCTGTTAGGGGGAAAGGATGTCCTGAGCTAATCCCATGCAGGCTTTGTGGACGCCACCCCCACCCCAGACCAAAGCCATCAGGACACTGGGAAAGACAAATCCCATCACCACCAAAGGGAAGGTGGCTGGGACCTGCGGGTGGAGTTAAGCAGCCAGGTTGGGTATAAAAACCAAACACGTGGGCCTTGGGGTCGCTCTGTCGCTCTCCTCCTGGCTTCACGGCTCCTGGCTCGCGGCCAGCTCTCAGAGCGCCATTTGGGATTCCAGGCGGATCGCGTAGGACGCATTTAAAACTTTGTCTCCCGCTTTTCTCCCTGAGCTGTACATTTCCTCATTTCCCCTTCCCTTGTGAATAAACCTTTTATGAACCTTTCGCGTGTGCCTGCAGTGGAGCATTGATAAGTCCTTTTAAGCGCGCGGGTGAGGATCCACAGTCAGGCACCCCGTTTTGTATCGGGGCTGCCCTCTAACACCCCCAGCTCCTGCAAGGGCTCACAGAGAATAGAGGGTATTTGTAGACCCAAGGAGGGCAGGCAAGCTTATTAAAAAAAAAGTTTATCTCAG